GGGACCCCAATTTGTTAGGGTGAGGTCGGTCAGCGGGTTATAAGGAGTACCGAGGAGGTACTCAAGACCACTGATTTGATACATCAGGTTGGGAATAGACTCAAGACAGCTCAGAGTCGGCAGAAGAGTTATGCCAACAGACGTCGATCAGATCTAGAGTTCCAGGTTGGGTATATGGTTCTCCTGAAGGTGTCACCTTGGAAATGTGTCATTCGATTAAGGAAGAGGGGCAAATGTGTCCATAGCACGTTCCACGTCTCTCAGTTGCGGAAGTGTTTAGTGGATGATTCCGCAATGGTTCCATTGGAGGATATTCAGGTGGATGACCGCCTGAATTATATTGAGAGACCAGAGGCGATTCTTGACCGGAAGACGAAAACCTGGAGGAACAAGGTTGTAGAGTTGGTGAAAGTCCAGTGGCAGCATTACAAGGGCTCATAATGGACGTGGGAGCCAGAGGATAAGATGGGGGAGCACTACCCTGAGTTATTTGGGGTAGAGGACTTCGTGGACGAAGTCTGATTCAAGTGGGGGGGGGATTGTAACATCTGGAACCCTAAGGTACTAAATTTATTCATCTATTGCATTTTGAGGGTCCTCACAACGTGAGATCTTAGGGGCCACGTCGTGAGTGCACGTTGACCCGTTGACTCGTAATTTGGAGTCTCACGACGTGAGGCATAAGGTCTCACGACATGAGCGTGGATTAATGACCCCAACCCTAATTTTCGGGTATTTAAGGGAATGAGAAGTTAGGGTTTCCCCATCCTCAGCCTCTCTCAACCTCTAAGCCTTTGGAAACCCTAATTTACATGTCACCTTGAGTTGTTGAGCATTTTTCTTGTAGAATGGAAGGAAAAAGGAAGAAGAAGAAGTATCTTGGGAAGGAAGTTGCTTGGAATCATCATCATCATCAGCTTTACTATTGTTTGTACCATTGTAAGTATCAAGACTCAAGCTTTATTGCATTTCATGGCTAGATCTAGGCTTTTGGTCCATTTTCTTATGATTTAGCTTGGTTAGTGATGTGTATTTAATGTGTATATTTATTTGTTCAAATTTCAATTTAATAAAACTAATGTTTCTTTCACTAGACTATTAAACACACCAGGCAGTGTACCTAATTGTGTAATAGTATAGCTATGCTAATAACAAGTGTCGAACTCAAGGAACGGTGTTTTGGCTAACTTTATTCTACTATTAACTACTTACTAATGAAATTATAAAAGGTTTTGTTTTCCTATTTTTGCAAGACTAGATACTTAAATTACCAAAATAACAAATTATCAATTAATTAAGCTAACACTAAACTAAGGCAAGAGAGCAAAGTTGAATTAACCAAGGCGAGTGAGAGACTTTCGTTTAACTTCGGATTTACTTGATATTATGGTTGATTTATGGAAGTGCAATAGATTTTAGTTTCTTTGGTTACCGATTCCTAAGATAACCAAATTAATATTCACTAATTTAATCCTTTAGCAAACTAACTTATTTATTTGGTGATCAAGCGGACAAACTTACAAGTTTACTAGTGTTTAGTTCGAATTGATTAGACTTATAATCGATTGATCAATTTAGTTTATTGATTCAATTCAATATATGATTTGTCGTCATATATTAGCTCTTATACCTTTTTACCCACTTTTCTACTTAACCCTAGGTTTTGTTCAAAACTCTAGTCCTACAATTTTGCAATTCACAAGATCATAAGATTCAAATTTAAATAAGAAGATAGTCATGCTAACTTAATCAAATTCAACAATAAGTAGAGAAATAGTTATCAAAAGTACTTGAGGTTCTTTAATAAGTAAAATTAATAAATAACCAAATAGCTAAATCCAATCCATAGATTCAACCATAAATAATCAATCCATCCTAGGCTAAACGAAAGTCATGAGAATTTAGCTCATGATTTCAGCAAACAAGAACATAAAATCGAAATTCAAAGTAATTGACATGGCAAAATCTAATGAAAAATAAAAGTGTAGAAATTTGTTGCCTTAATGCTCCTCCTTCCAATGGTATGATCGAATTCCTTGCTTCCAAGCCTAAGAACAGGTGTTTTGCCTTCAAAAGTGATGATTACTTCCAGAGCCAAAGGTTCCAATTCGGAGGAGAATGAGACCTTTTATAGTTTTCCCGAATTCAGATCACCATGACGTGGTAAGGCTACCACGTCGTGGTCTTTGTGTTTATCATGTGTTCTACAAGTCTTCGAAGCAAATCGGGATTCTTCACCTCACCATGCCGTGGGATATCCACCACGACGTGTTGGGTATTTTTTCGTCATTTTAAAGCTTTGTTTGAAATTCCCAACTCCCAGGTCCAGCTTCCAGCTTCCAGCTTCCTTTTTGCCCCAAGCATGTCCTTTATCCCTATAACACACTTCATAACAAATTAAGTATCTTTTGTTCTAATAAGGGCATAAAAGTAATTAAAATATTAAGTTATGATGTATAATTATGTGTATAAATATGCACATATCAAAATACCCCACACTTATTCTTTGCTTTCCCCCAAGCAAATTGATTTCTTATTTTACCAGCAAACTACAAAACAATCCATTTCAAACCCAGCCATTATCCCAAGACCTCAATGCATGTATTTATGTCTATAATTCCTAAGAACTTCCCACTCCTAAATACTCACAATCCTTATGAATCTTCACCCCTTAGCTTATACGACACTCATTTTTGCAACCCTCCGAATCAATCCTCAGAAATCTTCCTTACCCTCAAGGTATTTTTGGCTAAACAACCAAGAATACATAAATTCTAGAAATTACAACTTTGATACCACAATGGAGCTCTTTGAATTCTTCATTTTCTTTGTATATTTGATCTTTGATTTCTTTGAATTCACCACCTTTTCTGTTTGATTTTTGGTATCTTCAACTTTTTGGGTTTCTTCAGAATTTTGATATTTGAATTTCATAATTTGACTACTCCAAAACTCTTGAACTTTTTGGTAATTTCTCTCTTTTTTGTGTTTTTTTTTCTTCACATGTATCTTACTTTTTTTTCCACTCAAATCCTACATGCTTAAGTAAGGAGCTTAGCTTCAACCTTTATTGGTTAAGGTATTAGTCTAAGTGCAATGACTAACTAAGCTTTCCTGGATGGATTTCAGGTTTAGGCTGCAGAACGTATTATGTCATACAAGCTACCAGATTGCCTTTCATACCTCATGATTTTTCACTATGAAAAGGGAAGCCACAAATACACTGTAACATGTGTTGGCTCAGGTAAATATTTGGGTTCTCATCGGATCATACCATACTATACTAGCAAAAATTTTAACTAGCTAAGTTTCCTAAGTTAAAATATTATTTCAAGTTTATATGAGTGCAAATTCTGAAACTAGCAATGCAAAAATTTTAAAAGCAAATGCTTTGTCCTATGCAATATAATATACCCCTACCCCACACTTATTTCATGCAATGCCCTCATTGCATGTTATGCAATACATAAAAGTAAAAAGAGGGAGAAAAAGAACAGACTCCCATGGGGTAAAAGATACGTCTAGAATCGTGTGGAAACGTGTAGAAAAGCCCGGTTGCTTGAAAGTGTGAAACGGAATTGGAGAGTATAATGGCAGCCTCCTTATGCGATGAACAACTCCCCCACGATATAGGAAAGTGTCAACCATGTTGTGGAAACAGCTCATCCACACCATGAGAATGAATATAAAATTAGAGACACCACTATTGAACTGCTAAACTTCTGAAAGTACGGGATCAGACTTGAAAACGAACTCGAAAAGCACCACCTCGTGGTGGATTTCACCACCTCGTGGTGGACCAAACAGATTGCGATTTTGTTATTTTAACTGTGACAACACGACGTGGAGGATATTACCACGACGAGGTGGTATTGAAATGACAATTTACTGTGCCGGAATCAACTGATTTATGGAATATTTGTGACACCAACTAATATAGGAAGCTGTTAGGCATGACTCCTCACTTATTGACACAACAAACACCCTAAAAATTGCTCAAAGCTCGCTTCTCTCGTCGTTTCTAATCTTTCTCTATAAAGCACCTTCTTTTGCCAATAATACCCTCTCTAGCACTCTACAAATTACACCTGGAAATCTAAAGCAAAGAGGATTAATGAAAGTAGGAAACATTGTCAAACAACCAAACCAAAAAGAAATAAGTATCTAAACAACCAAACCAAACAAGCCAAACACATAAAAATAAAAGACATAAAATAAACATAGTCTTCAATCCACTAAAACAAAAGGATATAACTCTCATTCTTCGTCATCTCCATCATCACCTCCTCCTCCACTACCGCCCGCTCCACCGCGTTGCTCTCTCCACAATTCCTCCCAACTCGGTGCGTATGTGTAAGCAGGAGGAAAATGAACGAGCCGGGTTACATGCATCTGCTCCATAAGATGGTCTAGGCTCATGTTGGTGTAGTTGGCACTCCTTGCCAAATTATCATCAAACCTCCTCCTTGAAATGCTATAGGGATCCATGGGTAGCTCGTCATCGGTTGGTACAACTGGTGGTTCTTCTTCTTCAGGCTCCCTTCTTTGTCTTACCCGCCTCGGGACTCGGCCTCGTGGAGTATCGTCGGGAATAGCAAAACCACCCATCCCATGATCAACAACAATATTTGCCCTCTTATAAAGTAGTGTAGAGAAAGGCTTCTGGGACTCCACAGTCAAAAACACGGCCTCGCGCTTATCAAGGACTCCAAAAGAACGTGTAAGCCGTATTATCAACATACCCCCGTAAAGAGGAGAACCGCGCCTATCCTTTCCTGCTCGGGCCACAAGAAAATCTGCAAACAGGAATGGTAAGTCTGCATAAACATCGGGGGAGATAAGGGCCCATAAGAAAATGACGTCTATAGTCGGACACTTGTCCCCCTCCTATCTCGGATTAATGGTGTTTGTGATGAGGTGATGAAACAGACGATGAATAGGGAGCGAATGTCACTTTCTTGCGCAGTCCCCTTATCATAAGAACCATTTGCTATTTCATTTTAATGTGTTTCTACTTTGAACCCCTTGGTAATCTGAATACATCTAGCAATATATTGTTGATAGACTTCGGAAAGGACCTCAGATGGAAGATAAATCTGCGTCCTTAGCGCAAAATCAGCAAGGCATAAGGTACACCTTTCTCCACCAAGGCAAAAAGAAAGGTTGTATTCAACAAAAATACCATCCTTCCGTGCAAAAGAAATCGTGGCCAGAAACTCGACTACTAACTCCTTGTACACGACTTCCTGAATTTCAAATAGCCGTCTCCACCCCATACAAACAAATTGCCCATGAATGCTATTGAATGCTTTATCCAAGTATGGCTCAAGTCCCTCCATTAACCCGGTTTGTCCTATCCAGTGCCAATCTACAAGTGTAGGAACATGGACTTTTCGCTGCTTCATCCAGTTAAGTTTTGCATTCTATCTTGCGTAAATCTCGGGCCCAACAGTCCTAGGAAAAGAATACCACGGAAACTCGGGGCGACTCCCGAGTTGTTGGCGTCATGCACTGCTAGCCATTTCTACAAAATAACCAAAAAGAACACAAGAGGAAACCATGTATATGCAATGAATCAGAACAAAACAGGATTGGGCTTAAAAAAACTTCACCACGATGAGTCGTCGTGGTCGACATACTGTCGAGTGAAGTGGTTTAATCAGACCATATTCAACACCATACCAACTCAATACAACTTCAGGGTTTGTTCTATGCATGAATTCAAGTAGGAAAGTAACAAAATCAAATGAAAAACATCATTAATCGGGTCCGGTTTTTGCAAAAATCGGAACCCTAAGTTCTTAATTTCGGGCCTAAAAATGTTCAAATAGCAAATGTATACCCTATACTAGCATACGAAGTGATTAAGAGTAAGGAAATCACACAAAAATCATACCTTTTGGTTGAAAAACGCAAGAAATCGAGTAGAAGAAAGGGATGTTTTTCGTGGGAGAGGGAACACGTTGAGAGAGAGGCGGAGTAAAAGTAAACATGTGTTTTGACTGGGGTTTAAAAACCCTAATTTGGCTGCAGTTAAACTGACACCACGTCGTGGTATCGCCCAAAGATAACGTTTTACGGGTTCTATCAATTCACCACCTCGTGGTGATGTTTTTTTTTTTTTAGAAAAACTTCCAAATTGGTCAAGATCTTATAAAAATCATCCACCCCACACTCTTTTTATTCCATTCCCCACATTGAATTCCATAGAAATTTTTAAGAATGAGAGAGTAAAGCATTAAGCAAAAATAAATAAAAGAAAATGAAATAAAAGAAAAAGGAAAGAAAAATGCAAACTCAAAACCACAGGTTACCTCCTGCAAGCGCTTCTTTTTGGGGAGTCATAAGTCGGACTCCTTCCCGCTTCAAGTTGTTTCAGCTCGTGTGAATTTGACGATTTCCCCCTCTTTTTCTTCATTTGCCATTCCTTCTTCATAATGTTTCACTCTATGCCCATTAACTTTGAGAGGGGTTCCGTCTCTTGATAACAACTCAATAGCTCCATGTGGGAAAACTTGTTTAACAACGAATGGCCCGTCCCACCTTGTTTGTAGTTTTCTCGGGAAAAGCTTTAACCTTGAATTGAAGAGTAGCACCTTTTGTCCTTCATGAAAATCCTTATGACCTTTTAGTCTCATGTCACGCCATTTCTTTGTCTTGTCCTTATATATTAATGAACTAGTGTATGCTTCATTTATAAGTTCCTCAAGGGCATTCATTTTCATCAATCGGTTGGCACGAAGTTCGGTTAGTTCAAAATTACATATCTTCAAAGCCCAAAATGCTTTATGCTCGATTTCAACCGGCAAGTGACAATTCTTTCCATAGACCAACCTATATGGTGTAGTAACAATAGGTGTTTTAAAAGCCGTTCGAAATGCCCAAAGTGCATCATCAAGCTTATCCGACCACTCTTTTTTTATTACTTCCAACCGATCGCTCCAATATTCGTTTTAATGCCCGATTTGTAACTTCGGTTTGCCCACTTGTTTGTGGATGGTATGATGTTGAAAATCTATGGTGTACACCATATTTTTGTAACACCTTAGCCAATTGATCATTTGCAAAGTGGGTGCCTTGATCACTTATTAGAGCCTTAGGAACACCAAATCTTGAAAACAACTTCTTAAGGAAACGCACCACCACACGAGCATCATTAGAAGGTAATGCTTGTGCTTCCGCCCATTTAGATACATAATCTACCTCCACCACTATATATTTATTTCCTTTGGACATTGGTAACGGTCCCATAAAGTCAATCCCCCATATATCAAATATCTCACAAACTTAAATGCTATTTTGGGGTATCTCGTTTCGGGATGAAATATTTCCCGACCTTTGGCATGAATCGCACTCCTTAACATATTGAGTGGCATATTTAAAAATTGTAGGCCAATAAAAACCCATATCAAAAATCATTTTAGCCGTATATTGTGTTCCATGATGTCCTCCGGTGGGCCCGCTCTGGCAATGTTTCAAGATTTCTCGACTCTCCTTCCCGAATACACATCTTCTTATCATACCGTCTGCGCAGCTTCGAAAGAGGAATGGTTCATCCCAAAAGTAATATTTGATCTCAGAAAAGAATTTCTTCTTTTGTTGTCTTGTTAAATCATTTGGAATGTATTCACTTGCTAAGTAGTTGGCGATGTCTGCATACCAAGGTATTTCTCCTGCTATAACCATAAGATATTCTTCGAGAAAATCATCTCCAATCTTGTTTTCTTCTAATTCTTCCAAGTGCGGGTTCTCTAGTCGTGATAGGTGATCCGCTGCTACGTTTTCCATTCCCTTTTTGTCTCTAATCTCAATGTCAAATTCTTGTAAAAGTAATACCCAACGTATTAGTCTTGGTTTAGCATCTTGTTTAGCAAAGAGATACTTAAGGGCAGAATGGTCGGTAAATACAATTGTCTTTGACAAAACTAGATATGGGCAGAATTTATCAAAAGCATAAACCACCGCGAGCAGCTCCTTCTCAGTGGTAGTGTAGTTTTCTTGAGTTGGGTTTAACGTTTTTCTTGCATAGTAGATAGGTTGAAAATGTTTGTGAATTCTTTGTCCTAAAACTGCTCCCACCGCATAATCACTAGCATCACACATAAGCTCAAAAGGAAGACTCCAATTTGGGGCTATTATAATAGGGGTAGTCAACTTTTCCTTTAACAATTGAAATGCTTCATGACATTCCTTAGAAAAGTCAAATGGGGCATCCTTTAAAAGAAGTTGAGTTAACAGCCTCGTGATCTTCGAAAAGTCTTTAATGAAACGGCGGTAAAATCCTGCATGGCCCAGAAAGCTCCTTACCCCTTTTACATTCGCCGGGGGTGGTAATTTAGCTATCGTGTCAACTTTGGCTCTATCCACCTCTATCCCCGACCTTGAGACTTTGTGTCCTAACACAATCCCTTCCTTTACCATGAAGTGGCACTTCTCTCAATTTAGAACTAGGGTGGTCTTCTCACATCTTGCTAGCATTAGGTCTAATTTAGATAAACAATCTTCAAAAGAGGACCCAAATACCGAGAAGTCATCCATGAAAACCTCCATAAATTTCTTAATCATGTCGTGGAAGATAGCCATCATGTACCTTCGGAATGTAGTCGGTGCATTGCATAACCCAAAAGGCATGCGTCTATATGCAAATGTCCCACTTGGGCAAGTAAAAGTGGTCTTTTCTTGGTCTTGAGGGTCAATTGGGATTTGGAAGTAACCCGAGAAACCATCAAGGAAACAATAGTAAAGATGTGTGAATAGTCTTTCAAGCATTTGATCGATAAATGGTAGCGGAAAGTGATCCTTGCATTTAGCATCATTAAGCTTCCGATAGTCGATGCAAACGCGCCACCTGGTCACTGTTCTTGTTGGGATTAACTCGTTATCTTCATTGGTAACCACGATCATTCCTCCCTTCTTTGGTACCACGTGTACCGGACTTACCCATGGACTATCGGAGATTGAGTAAATGATACCAGCATCTAAAAGTTTAACCACCTCCTTTTTTACTACTTCTTGCATATTTGGGTCAAGTCTTCTTTGGCGTTGATCTATGGGCTTAGCTCATTCTTCTAGGTTGATCTTATGAGAACAATAGGCTAGACTAATCCCCTTGATGTCAGTTATCTTCCATGCTATGGCACCTTGTCTTTTCTTTAGCACTTCCACGAGGCTTTCTTTTTCATGTTTAGCTAGATCGGATGCTATAACTACTGGTTTTTGTTGCCCTTATTCCAAGAATGTGTACTCCAGGTGCTCGGGTAAGGCTTTAAGCTCAACTTTTGGCTTTTTGTCAGTCACCATGACGTGGGCTTCTTGCCATGTCTTGGTGTCACAATTTTTATTGTCAGATCGTGGAAAAATTGTTGACCACGCCGTGTTGCTATCACCACGCTGTGGTGCTTCTTCTACCTCTTTCATTACTTCATTATATTCACTCTCTTCCAATAGCTTCTCTAATTCTTGCAGATCTAGTTCGGCATCAAAATCACCTTCTTCAAGAACCATAAATCCCTCGGTTTCTTTTTCCTTCCACCCTCCTAGCTCCTTTTCGAATAGTTCATTAAGTATATCGACAGAAAAAGCCGTATCATCACTTGCTCTTGAATATTGAATTACCCGATTAACCCCAAAAGTGACCGCTTCTTCTCCTACTCGGAGAGTGAGTTTGGACTCTCTAATATCAACCAAGGCTCGGGCGGTGCTCAAGAAGGGCCTTCCAAGGATTATTGGGACTTGTTCGTCTTCCTCCATATCGAATACGATGAAATCCGCAGGAAAACAAACTTGTCCACTTTTACGAGCAAGTCTTTACATATACCCCTTGGGAAAGTCATGGTCTTGTTAGCTAAATGTATGAGCATGCGGATCGGTCTTTGTTCGCGGAGATCAAGCTTCTTGAAAAAATGAATAGGGCATCAAATTAACACTAGCTCCCGAATCGGCTAGAGCATGACTAGTTGCTAGATTCCCGAATTGGCATGGTAAGGTTATGCTTCCCGGATCACCCATCTTTTTCGGTAACATGTTTAGCATTGTAGCGGAACAAGTTTCATTTAATACCACCTTCGATAGTCCCTCCATTTTCTTTCGGATTGTTAAAAGGTCCTTAGAACTTTGCATATTTTGGCATTTCAACTAAGGCCTCAAGGAATGGAATATTTATTTCAGGAGACTTTGTGTGGTCTAAAAACCTTCGATAATCTTCAGCATGCTTCTCTTGAATTGCTCTACTTGGGAATGGCAATGGTGGACGGTAACGCTTTACGGGTTCATTAATTTTCTTTTAACCTTCTTGACACGTCGTGGTTTTGTACCACGTCGTGGTGATTGTTCAGATCCTTGTCCTTGACTTTCTTCTTGAACTTCCTTCTCCCCGTCCGAGTTGTTTCTGTCTATGGGCATTAAA